CCCGGTTACTATTAACTAGGACAGGTTGAGCCAACTAAACTTCAAGAGGGTACTTACCTAAAAACTCCATGCAAGCCTAAACCTAAGGATTTGTCTACTTTGTGTGAATATGATTATTTGTACTTGCTTATTTTGCATACTTTTACATAACATCATGACATCATACCATAGCATTTTCAAGGATCTCGAGGGTCTTTGATGCAGGGTCATATTAAACCAAACGTCTATCAAGGGGTAAGAGGATTTATTTTCCTCTAACCAAACACCGTCAAAGATCAAGTATAACAACTTAAGTCAAGGGCTACAACCCACTTGGCATGGTGAGCTTAATTCTCGTGGAGGGACATCCACCAATACAAATTTCTCCAATCAAAGCTGTAAGTGACTACTAACATTTACCCCGTGAGATCCTTGAAAACATGCATCCACATATCATGCATCATATCATGACAGGTTTCTCCCATACAGGTCTCTTTATCTCCCTACTGTTTATTTCAGTAAGATGGATATGGAACAAACGGTAGAAGATCTCCAAGCTCAAAACGCTCAATTTCAACAAATGTTCATGGCCATGGCTAAAGGGAAAGAGGGCCTGAAGACTCTTCTTCTCAAAGATAAGAAGAAGAAGCCTAAGAAGCCAGTAGGCGTCCTGAACTTGGGAAGAAGACTTAGAGGACCAACCAAGAGAGCTCTAGATCTCTCAAGTTCATCCAACGTGGGGGATAGTCATGAAGAAGACAACAATATGGAGATTGATAAAGTCGAAGCTAACTACTCTGAAGAACAATATCCTCCCGCTGATGACAAGTACAAACAGTTGGCGGATCTCCTCAATGTTATGGAGATTCAGAAGTTACATGGCTTGGATTTGGGAGACATGGGTTTGTTTTCTGGAGTGGTCATTCCGCCAAAGTTCAAAATCCCTACCTTTTCCTTGTACGATGGAGTCTCTTGCCCTAAGATGCACTTAAAGTCTTATGTCCGTAAGATTCAACCATACACAACTGATCTGAAGCTTTGGATCCATTTCTTCCAAGAGAGCCTAGTAGGGACTCAACTCGAATGGTTCCATCAATTGGAGAGTTCTCGCATCCACACCTGGGAGGATTTAGTTGCTGCTTTTTATAAGCAGTACCAATACAATGCTGATCTTGCACCAACTCGTGTGCAATTGCAGAACATGACCATGGGTTCAATAGAGAGCTTCTAAGAATACGCCCAAAAGAGGAGAGATTTGGCTGATAGGGTGCATCCCCCTTTAACTGGCAGGGAGCTGATTGACATCTTCATGGGAACTTTGACAGGACCTTTCTTCAAACACCTAATTGGAAGCTCCTCGACCGGGTTCACCGAGCTAATACTGATTGGCGAAAGAGTCGAAGATGGCATCAAATGTGGAAAGATCCAAGGAGCTACACCCTCTGATGCTCAGAAAAATACATACATTGGGAAGAAAGAGTCCAATGCTGTGTATGGTCAAAAGAGTCGTCATGACCAACATGTAGGAGAAATCTTGATCTCTAGTCTTGCACCTTCTCAACAAAGACAGGGGCACCAGCATAAGAAGGTCGCGCCTAAAAGACAATTTACTAAGATCAACATATCACTGGCTCAAGCACTACAAGACATGTTGAAGGCATAGCTAATTACGTTAAAGGCTCCTCTCCGGAACCCCAACACTTCTGCTCCTACATATCATCCCAATGAAAGGTGTGCATACCACTCTAATAGTCCAGGACACGACACGAACATCTGTTGGGCTCTGAAGAACAAGATCCAAGATATGATTGATGCCAAGGAGATTGAGTTCGACCCTCCAGAGGCTCCCAACGTGATCACTGCTCCTATGACGAATCATTGAAAGCTTTCGTTCATTTTAATTTCCAATTGTAATCTCTTTTATTGTTCAAACATTTATCTATTAATGTCGAACTTTGTTTTCATTAATGCATTTCATATGTTTGTCTTGATTTAATCCATTAATTTTGATTATATTTAAACTACTCATTTTACTCTCTTTATGATATTCAACTCTTGTTTCAAAAAGTTGCAAGCCTTTAGAGGGAGGATGACGAAAATAATGCCATAATCTCATACACTATGTTTTTGGACAGACCTTGTTGACGATGTACAGGCGTTCTTTCAAATCCTAAACACTAGAGTTATAAAGAAGATAATCCCTAGTCAACCCCTTCGAGCCAAAGAATTAGAAGTTTTCGTTTTACACACAAATTGAAACCTTTAATCAAAACCTAAGGCAGGGTAGTCTCTCTGTTAATTCAAACGTGCATTTAGCTGCAAACTTTCACTTTGTAATAGAATGAATGACATCAAAACATTCCTCTGGAATCAAAAGATAGTGATAGTTCCCTACCAAATAGGAAGTCATTATCTCTCAAGAAGAAAAGCCCACTAAGTCAAAACCTACAAAGGAGACTTAAGAAAAACTGGGGCATCCCCTGACCGTAATTTTAAAACAAGAACAATCACACAAAAATTAGGGATAACAAATCAAAAGAAATAGGTTACTAAAAATCCGCGACAACATAAAAAATATTGCAAAAAGTGACTGCCTTCCGACAAACTAAACTTGTCTGAACCATCACCAAAACGTTATTCCAGACTCAATTGGATTTCAAACACACAATTAATTGAGTTCAGGACTGAAGAACATCACGAAGAGCGGGTGGGTATAAATACACTTCGAGCCTTTATCCTTTGTTTCTTAAACCGTGAACCAAGCCATGCTACAACCTTTGAAAAGTACTAATTGAAGCTTGGGTTAGTTCAAAAGCATATTGTTACAAAAGGTATCCTGACTCCTGTAAATCTTTACTCTAAATCCTGAGTTTGAATTTTCTTACAAAACTTATTTACTTGCTAAAACGCATTTTCAAATTTTCAAGACAACCATAAACTTTTCATTATTTGAATATCGTTGTTTGCATATGGCTATTTGTTTGACAGCGGAGGAATTCACACAGCGAATATCCGATGAACGAAAGCTTTCTCAGTGAGAAAAATCACCTCTAGTGGGATGACATTTCCATTGGCAAGTCTCCTAAGCAAAAAGACACGGCATGACATGTCACTATCCATCACACCTAGGGAAGTCCAGTCAAGATTCCAAGAAATCTCTCAAGAAATGCTGAATAACCAGGGGCAGGTCTCCATCTCCATCACTTGGGGAATTGAATGTGAATCCCGACAAAGGGGTTACGTACAGTCAAACATTTTCTGGAAGTGCCACAAACATTTACTACTAGGGGAAGTGACGAATCTCCCCAAGATCCTTCTCATAGGATGACTCCCAGCCAGAGTTTTAATCTCTGAAAACTTCTCACCAGTTGATTCAACCTCAAAAATCCTCGATGATTTTCCCCAGTGAAATCACTACCTCTCCAACAGACCGACTGTTGTACCCCAAAATTTGCCCTCCCATATTCTTCAAGAATTGCAAAGTCAAAGCTGCAAAATTCCCCAAGGGTTGCACAGTTCAAGGGCCTCCTAACAGTCAAAATTAGGGTTTTGGTTCTGACAAAGTAAATGAAGTTTCCAAGGGTCCAATCAAGTCCCACATGCCTATAAATATGGTCAAGCATCCTCATACCAAGTGTCAAGACTTTCAGCACAAAATTGCATAGTCAAAACCCTAATTGCACTACAGTCAACTGTAGGGGCAAAATGGTCATTTGACAGTCAAAAGTTCAAATTTTTGGTCAACATCTCATTTTGAAGCCACAAACATCATTGGATCAATGCTTGATCATGATTCTCAAAGCTTGGCTCAAAAAGTCTCAAGATGCAAAAGTTTCCATATTTGGACAGTTGAAAAAGTCAACTGTAAATTGACCAGGGCATAACTTTCACATGGATTATCAGAAAAATTCCATCCAAAGCTCATTTTGAAGAGAAAGACATTTCCTACAACTCCTCTTCACACTTCAAGTCCAAGAAATTCTCTCACAAAAAGTTATCAATTTCAACATTATAGGTCATTTTCAAAAGTCAACAAAAAGGGACTTTAAGTCAAAGACCATAACTTGAGATTGGTAAATCAAAATGACATGGGACCAAGGACATTGGTTAGAGGACTCAAATACCTTTCCAAAATGTCCAAGAAAATGAGCAAAGCTTAAAAATTGAGCAAGTTATGCCTTGTGGAAGTTGGGAAATGTTTGGATATTTTGAAAAGTCAACATTGCTCCAAATGACCTAAAAATGCTAATGGGCCTCTTTTGCTTCCACAATTCATCATCCAAGGCATGTGCGCGACCATTTGGCCCAAAGGGAAGTTTCTCATTATTTTTATTTATTTATTTGAGTTTTTAATTGCTAATAATTCATTTAATTAATTAAAATATATGAAAAATACCAAACCTAAGTTTTTAAATCTTTTTATGCATGAAATACACTCAATATTTTGTGCATGATAAGATTTGGAAAGAATCAAGGTAATTGAACATGATTTGTATCAAATTTGCATGAAAGAGATTGAAAAAATATGCCATTAAAGTAAAATATTAGATTCATGATTACAAGGCTTTTTTGACTCAAATATTTACCCTAATTCATTTACCCATATATACCCAAGTTAACCTAATCCAAAAGGGAGAAAAAAAAAGAAAGTTGCTCGGAGACCAAATCTTTACCCACAAATACACATACTTTCATCATCATATTCTCAAAAACTCATTAACCATATAATTTACAAGTGTCATTCCACACTACTTCAAAAAAATCAATCTTCAACACTAACACATCTCACCAATATCACCAATAGATCAAACTGCAAACTCACACCGTTCAAACCTTGCTGCAATAATTTATGAGTTCATTCACAAAGCCAAATCCGTGAGATTTTCGAACTAAAAAATCTCACTGAAAATCAATAATTACACCTTCTTCATTGATTCAAAAATTGACAATAGTAAAAGCCATCCAACAACAAATTCATTAATATAACAACTTGTACAGAGTTTTGTTTTTGCAGGAACAAATCAAAAAAAGGAAGAACAAACGAAAAATGGATCGAATACAACCGCGCCTTTAAAACTCCGGTCATAGTCACGGCGCAACACCAACAGCGACGGAGATCGCGCCTGAAATCGCTCGCGCACAACCACCGATGCTCCGTTCCCGGTCACCACACGCGAGAATCGATTGGTCACATGAAATCCACCGCCTCTAGCCTCCTCGCATTCCGATTGCCGCTCCAACCACGCTCATCCCATCGAAGCTTTGACGTTAACAATCACCCATCCTTGCTTCCGATCGCTCAACACTGACTACCACTACTCAGATCCAGGACGATAACACCGCGGGAAGCGGTTTCCGCCGTCGACTTCTCTCTGCGACTCCCTCGACCGCATACTGTCGACCGTCTCTGCCGTGCAACCAACGCCACGGAACACTGTGAGAACCATCACGCGGAAAACGCAGGATGTGCTGTATTTATTCTCTTCTCCCATTGGCTTTCAAATATATGTGTTCTTTTGATTTCTTTTGAGATTTTATACATTGATTTTGTTAATGAGATGATGTTGGTTTGCCTGATGTTTGGTTGCCAGGAGTTTGGGTTTCTTATCCTTAAGAAAAGAAGAATAGAGTTAATGTGAGAGAAAGTTTCCTCCTGATGTGTTTTGTATAAGTTACATATATTATATTTTGTTGTGATTATATTAACAAATAGAAACAGTGGTGTAGTTGGCAAGGGGTTGTGTTGGTAAGCGAGAGGACCTGGGTTCGAACCCCAGGTCCCCCTTTCTGTTCCATATTATTTTGCTAATAACACTTCTGTGCAGTTTCAATATAAGGGTTCACCATACTCTCTACATCCATGCTTGCCACGCGTGCAATGAGATCAATCAAAGGGTCCAGACTGGGAGAACACTCTAAGCGTTAGTCAATGAAGTCACAGGCATCCTGAAAAAGTCAAAAGGCCTTGCAAAGATGGGCCTAAAATGCTAAGAATATACCTCCAAATTTGGGGACAGAACCCCCCTAGGTTTTACAATTCTTTTCTTTCTATTTTTCATCTATTTCAATTATTTCTTTTTAATATATTCCTTAAATTTAATATTTTCATAAAAAACATAAAAACAACAAAAAATCAGAAAAAGACAAAAATTAAATATATTGTTGTTCAATTAATATTTTTGTAAATAAAACCTTTATTAATTAATTAGTTTTAATCTAGGATAAATCTTAATGTTTTTTCAATAAAACCTAAAATTGGTAGAATTAGGGTTTCTAGCATTTTTCATTTTTTTTTAATTATTTTACTACATTAATTATTAATTCTTAATTCGTTATTTTTATAAATCAAGTTGCAATTAATTAATGAGGCTTAATTTTAGATAATTGTCATATTTTCTTAATAAATTAAAAAATTGTAGAATTAGGTTTTAATTTCATAAAAATTCATAAATCCAAAAAATACCAAAAATAACTTCCTTTCATTTAATTTTAATTAATTTAATAACTTAATTTAATTTCATTAAAAAGGGTCCAACGCCCTAGTTTCCAATTTTATTTCAATCCGCGCGTTTTATTTCGTTTCTTTTAATTATTTATGTACCTCTCCCGAAGCCGTGTAAATATTAATTTTTCGCACTTTACTTTTCTTTAATTCTTTATTTTTCTGTCAAATCGGGTCCTGGAAATTTTGGCGATGTGGACCCGCGCCTTTTGTAATAGTTTAGAACTTTACTTCTTTCGCAAATTTTGTAACTGTAAATAAAGGCATGCAAGAATGAATGACAAATAAAAACAAACGCATAGATCACCTATAACATGACAAGATAAAATATCCGAATCTGACACACAAATCACACACCACCCCTAAGGTACGCCTCACTGTTGCCTTGCCTCGAAAGGTGATCGTCGAGTAGAGGATGTCTTAGTAAGTCCTCATGATCCGGGAACCTGGCATGAGGGTAGCTTCTAAGGTGTCTTCCCATTGCTCCGGTGATCACCATGTCCCGAACCTTCGAATTGACCCAAATACCTCCAATAGTGGTGCTACTTACCTCTCAATGGTGGGATGGCACTACTTTAAAGGACATTTACACAGACGAATTCCTTAGGGTAGGTAGACGACTCTAGATACTTGCTCTAAATCTCAAAACAAATTCAAAAATACTTTTCACACCGACACCTTTTCAAAAAGCTTTCGAAAGCAACTTTTCAAACACTCTTGAGGACCGATACAAGAGTCGAACTGGAATTTTCAAAGAAACTTTTTAAAACCCACAATTGAAAAGCAAACAAACCATTTTTGAAAACACAAGTGAGCAAGTATCTAAGAGCCCATGGATAACCATGGATAGAAAGGGTGCTAACACCTTCCCTTTCTATAACCTACCTCCCGAACCGAGAGCGATCTCTTTAAGGAATTTTTCTGTGCTTTTGTCCTTTCCATTTGGAGAAAATAAAAGACGGTGGAGACTCTTGCTTACCGCGACATTTCGCGAACCAGCTTTAAACAGTCAGTTCCAGATCCACCGATCACATAACTGGCGACTCTGCTGGGGATTTATTTTAAAGTGAGGTGTACCTTAGGGATAGTTCATCACTGTGTTTTCAATTTCTCTGACTTGTTTGCTTTAAATTGTGGGACTGTCTTGGGAGTTCTATAGATCCTAACCCGGATCTGGGGATACCTTCTTAGAAAGTAGCAACAAGGCTGTGAGGGAACTGTGCGGGGTATACCGACATGGTTGAAACAGTCTGCTACGTTGATGTGGCACTTTGGTGTGTACCGGTAACCCTTGAGTTCAGTCAAGGAGAGTATGGGGCCTCCGCGTGGTGTCGCGAAGCATCAACAGACCTTAGGAACCTTAATTGAACTATCTTGGCCTCTTTAGGGTAGTGAGATAACTGACTTTGGTGCAGTCCGAGGTTGGTTGATACTCGATACTACACTCAATTGAGGGTTGCTTTCCTGGAATATTTCGGTCGCCAGTTCAGTGGCTAAATCGAAACGATGAACAATGAAAGCAATCCCGTGATATTGGGACCCTTAGAACCCGGTTACTTCTGATAGGACAGGTTGAGCCCACCAACTTCAAGAGGGTAGTACCCCAAACTTCATGCTGGCCTAAACTCTGAGGGCTTTCTCTTGTCTGACTTGTGTGCCTTCAAACTTGGATTACTTGCATGCTTGTTATCTGACATCTGAACTTCTTGCAGGTTTTGTTTATAGTCCTTAACTAGGACTCATAACAGGGTTTACTGAATTTCCTGCAGGTTTTTGTTTTAGTCCTTAACTAGGACTCATAACAAGGTTTACCGAGTTTCTTGCAGGGTTTGTTTTAGTCCTTAATTGGGACTCATGACAGGTTTTACTGAATTTCTTGCAGGGTTTGTTTATAGTCCTTAATTGGGACTCATAACAGGGTTTACCTACATCACCCCATGCATAGCATGACATCATACCATTGCATACATCCTGCATAAAAAACTAATCCATTTCAAGGATCTTGAGGGTCTGTGATGCAGGTCATGATAAACCAATGGTCGAGCAAGGGGCAAAGGGGATTTATTTTCCTCTAGCCAAGGGTGTTAGGGGCTATGACCCACTCGATATGGTGAGCCTTGACTCTTGAAGAAGGACTCTCAACAACAGGAAGTTCCTTCAATCAAGCTACTGGATCCCAGCTCTAACAAATTTCTTGTTTACCCCGCGAGATCCTTGAAAACATTGCATGCATACATACATATCATTACATTACAGATACCCTTTTTACAGGTCACTTACCTTCTCCGCTGTTTATTTCAGCTATGGCTTCCCAACAAGATAACCAGGATCTTCAGGCTCAAGAGATTCAGTTCAGGGAGACCTTCCTAAGCCTATCCAAGGGGCAAGAGGAGTTAAGGACACTCCTCATGGGGAACTTGGCCAAGAAAAGTCCCGAAGATGACAAGGACGAACAGCTAAAACGTCTACAAGCTGAGGTAGACACACTGAAAACCCAGATGCTGGGGCAAAGGGCCCTCATTCAAGGTTTAGCTCAGGAGCAAGGAGAGTTGAGGGCCATGATCATTCAGCTTCCTCAAGGCATGAAGCAACCAGTCCGAGTCAGGGGCCAGGTCTTTGACCAGCTTCCAAGAGGACAAGAGTCTGGCATGGGGAAACATAGACCTCTTCAAATTGCTACCACTTCACAGGTCCAACCACAACCTCGCCCGAAGCAAAGGGTTGATCAGAGTGAGCCAAACAAGCCCAGGAGGCAATTTACCCAGCTCAACACGTCGCTGTCTCAAGCCCTACAACACTTGTTGAGACTGAATCTGATTACATTAAGGGACCCTCCTAAGAATCAGAATACAGCGTCACCAAAGTATAATCCCAACGCCCGCTGCGCTTATCATTCCGACAGCCCGGGGCATAATACAAACGACTGTTGGTCTCTGAAGAACAAGATTCAGGACCTGATTGACGAAGGAGCAGTGGAATTCACCCAAGATGGTCAGGCCGAGTTCTTCTACTACCCCTGCAAGACTCACCATTTGAAGTGACAAATCCTGAGACTAGAAAACTTTTGTTCATTCGAATGTTCAAGTTGCGATTTTCTTTTGTTCAAACATTTACTCATGTTAAACATTGTTATTTCATTAATGCATCGCATATGTCTGTTCTGAAACAATATATTCGTATTCACTAAATGCAAATTATTTTCATATTTTTTCTGATGTCAACTCCCAGTTAATAATTCTAAGCCTCTTGAGGGAGGATGACGAAAACGATACCGCTATCTACAGTATGCTTTTGAAAAGACCCCGCTGATGAGGTACAGGCATTGTTTCAATTCCTAAAACACTGGATTTATAAGGATGATAATCCCTCGTCAACCCCTCTGAGCCAAAGGAGTAGGAGTTTTCCTTTTCGAAAATTAAAACCCTTAATCATAACCTGGGGCAGGGTAGTTCTCTCAGTTGATCCAAGTGCATAACAAATGGCACCAAAAAGATCCTTACAAAACAAAGAAAGACAATGATGGTTCTGAATGATCAATAAAGAAAGGCAGTCATTATCTTTCAAAAAAAAAAAATAATAATAATAATAAAACCCATTAAGTCAAAACCCATGAAGGAGACTTACAAAACTGGGGCATCCCGCTGACTGTAATTCCAAAAAAGGAAACAGTTCAGGCAAAAAAGAAAGGGATGACAAAAAAATCAGACAAGAAAGAGGTCTTACCAACCCTCAACAAGAAAGAGATGACTGCCTATTCAAATAAACGTTCAATATCCGAATCATCACTAGTATATCAGAGCAAAGACTCAAACAAGGTCTAACGTATGATCAACTGAGCTTAGGTTTGAAGAACATCACGAAGAGCGGGTGGGTACAAATAATTTGAGCCTTTATCCTTTGTTTCTTAAACCATGAACCAGGCCACGTTATCACCCTTAAAAGTCC